CTTGAGATGTCCTCACGAACCAAATCGACCACTCCTAGAATGGATAATGAGTGGGCAGGGAGAAAGAAGAGAGGGAGAGAGAGAGAGAGGGAGAAAGAGAAAGAGATAAAGAAAAGGAGAAAGAGAGAGAGAGAGAGAGAGATTGAGAGGGAGGTAGAGAGAGGAAAGAGAGAGAGAGAGAGAGAAAGAGAGAGAGAGAGAGCGAGCGAGATAGAGGGAAAGACAACAAGCGAAGAAAGAAGGAGAGAGAGGAGAGAGAGAGAGAGAGAGAGAGAGCGAGAGAGAGAGAGAGAAATAGAGAGAAAGAGAGAGAGATCGCAACGGTTAGACGAGCGGTTCGACGAGACACAAGTCGCCAGGCCCCGCAGCTACGAGCGCCGCGCGGGCCAGCCTCTTCGGGTGGGAGGCGTCGCGCGTACGCAGCAGGGGTAGTGGGGGTGACCTCCCCCCTGGCGCGCCGCCCCTGCGCGCGCCTCGGCCGGCGCGATGGCAGCACTCGAGGTGCTTAAAAAAACGCCGCCTTGGGGCGACCCCGCGGCGGCCCGAGAAGGGTGGCCCGCGGCGCGAGGCGCCAGCTGTGCCCGTGGCCCGCGGGCGTGGAGGCGGGGCCAATGCCCGCGCGCGGCCCGCGGAGCTGCCGTGGCCGGAAGGCCTGCTGCAGGAGGCCGCTCCGGGCCTCTCGCGCTCGGCGGGATCCGTCGGTCGCCGGGGCGGATTGTCCAAGGGGCAATCCGTGCTACGCACAAGAGCTGCCACCATCCAGAGGTCCAGAGGAGGAAGAGGAAGAGGAGGAGGAAGAGGAAGAGGAATAGGAGGAGGAGGAGAAGAAGGAGGAGGAGGGGGAGGGGGAGGAGGAGGAGGAGGAGGAGGGAGGACCCCCCAGAGTCTGGGGGCGGCACAGAGTCTGAACAGCACTTTTTTTCAGATCCTGTAGTTGGTGGAGGGAGAGCGCTGGCTGGTTGGCGCGGTCCGGGACACCTCGATGGCGGTGCGACTGTTCTCGCGGCCCCTTTGTTGCTGGCTGTTCGCCGCCGTGCAGTGTTGCATCAGGGCTCGCCTGCGGCCCGCGCGTCGGGCGGCCCCGCTGGCCCGGCGGCCTTCGCTCCGCGGTTGGCGGCCGCCCCTGTCGGAACCCTGGTGGGCCGACTGAGAGGGCGGGCTGCCGCGGGCGCGATGGGTGGCCACCGCGCTCTGACTCGCCTGGTCGTTGGCGGGCCGGGCGCTAGCCGGCGCCACAGGGTGGCCCACAGCAGTGCAGCGTTGGTCGAGGAAGGAAGTCGACCTCTTCCTCGTCGCGAGGAGGAGGTCGACTTCCTTCCTCGTCGCTAGGAAGAGGTCCAGAGGAGGAGTGTTGGGGGGGTCTGCCAGCGAGGAGGTCGCTCTCTTCCTCGTCGCCGGGAGAAGCACCGGAGCCCCGGCGGGTCGAGAGGTCCCCGCCCTCGAAGAGTCGTCCGTGGGCGCGGGCCGAGGGGCCGTCGACTTCGCCCACGCGGTCAAGACTGGGCGGCCCGTCCAATGGCAAACGGGTTCGGCGCCTCCTGCTAGGGAGCCCCCAAAGGACGTACGCGCCCAGCTATGTACATGATCACGGCCCCTCGATTCGCGAGACCGGCCGCGTGATACAAACATTTGTGCAATGCGTGCTCTCGAAACCAGCGTGGATTCATGTACATGTACGTCCTTCTTTCGCTCCTGACCTGCACGGGGGCGGCAGCGCCCGGCGCCGCAGGTCACGGACGGCAGCGGCCGCGGCGCGTGTAGGACAGCGGCGAGCCTGCGTCGCCCCTCTTGGCGGCGCCCGCCGCACGGCGCGGGGGGCGCCCGGCAGCCTCGCTCCCGGCCCAGACCCCCGACGTCGTGATTTTTTCGTGACGTCGACCCCGAGGTCTCGTGGAGGAGGAGGAGGAGGAGGAGGAGGGGCAGGAGGAGGAGGAGGACTCCCTGGGGCCAGCTTCTCGTCCTGAATCGTTTCTTGACGGTCCCGAGGGCCGGTGTAAGGGCCCCCAAGGGCCAAAACTCAGGAAAAGCCTCCCGTCGTGATTTGTTCATAACTCGGCGGGGTCTGGGGAGGCGGCGACTTCGCCGGCATAGCGGTCGACAGCTTGCGCGACTGAAGCGCCCTTCGTTGATGCCTTGCCCCCCCACCGTGGATTTCGACTAGATTTAAATCGGGCCTGTCCCCCTACGGGGGATTCTCGACGAAAACTAAAAAATACCCCCAAAATAATTAAACAAAGCGCATAATCCAAAGATAGTCTGGGGACTATTTTTTGAATATTTGACCTTTTTGGTGTATCTTTGGGTTTTTTTAATTTTTCGTCGAGAATCCCCCTGTAGGGGGACGCGCCCGACTTAAGACTAGGCCGGATTCTGCAGGGGGGCGCCGAGCGAAGTTCCCCGCCGCGGGTCGGCGCGCGGCCCCGCGCGCTGCGTTTTTTGTTTGCTCTCCCCGCGGGCAACGTCTTCTTCGAGCCCGTGGGCCACCGCCTGGGCACCGACGGACGCGCGCGCGTCGGTCTCTTCCGGCCGCGGCTGCCAGATACTCTGGGGAAGCCCAAAGACTCATATCATGTCGGGCTTGTCCCCCTCACAGGGGGATTTTCGACGGACAAATAAAGAAAAACTCAAAACACATTCCCAAATGGACAAAAAGATACTCCAAAAATAATACCCGGACTATTTTTGGACTATTATTGAAATTATTTGTGGGGTGCTTTTAAAATTTTTCGTCGAAAATCCCCCTGTAGGGGGACGCGCCCGACTCAACCATAGACGCGGGCAGAGTGGTTGAGCTGGCGTCGGGCCGGCAGTAAGCGCTGAAGCCTGCCCTGGCCCGCAAGGAAGGCGCTCGGTTGGAGCGGGCCCCGTCCGTAGACGCGCGCGCCCATCTGGCCCCGTGCTCGTCGGCGCACTCTTGGTGGGAGTCTTCGTTCGGGCCCCCCTTTAGGGCGGTCGCGGGAGGGGCCGCGGGGGCTCATCGTTGGCCGAGGCAGCCCGTGGACCTGTAGACCGAGGAGGGCCGTTTATGTGTCCAGGGGGCCAGTGCCTGGCGCGCGGCGGGGGATCCTGGCAGTGCTGCGCTGATCATGGCTTTGAAGGCACTCCTCTGGTTTCTCTTGCGCGGGCGCCCCCCCGCCGCGTGCCCTTCGGCTTCTTCTTCGTCTTCTTCTTCTTCTTCTTCTTCTTCTTCTTCTTCTTCTCGGTCGCGCCATCTGCGCAAGGGAGATAGGCCAACCGAGATGCCGGCCATGCCATTCCCCCGCCGGGCGTGGCCACCCCCCGCGGATGTAGTTGCAGAAGAGGCCCGGTTGCCAGGCAATGCGTTTGGCGTTTCCTTTGGTCCCGGGGAGCCACGCCTCGGCAAAATGCAGATCTGCTCGGCGGCGGCGACGTCGTGTCTTGTAGTTGGGATGCGTCGGAGAAAAGACCTCCGTTGCGCGGCACTGGGCATGTGCGCGCGATTGTCAGCTGGCTCGTGGACCCATGTGAGTCGGGTCCCCCCATCATCGCGCATGGCGCCAAACTTTGCCGACTGGCCCTCCCTTGCAGGGTCTGCGCGCGACTCTGTCACCTTTTAGCTTTGGCGCCGAGGCCAGTGTCTCTCCGCGCTGTCCTCCCTGGCCCCGACAATCGATGCGGCCCCTGCGCCGACTGGCTGCGGCGTCGCAACCGCGGCTGAAGCCTGGCTCGCGCGACGCGAGCTCACCTCGGGATACTTGGATCCGATTATTTCACCCCCGGCCTCGGCCATCTCTTCTCGACCCAAGCCCGCGGCAATGATCCCACCAGCCCTCTGGGCGCAAGTGCTGCAACGAACTCGTGTCTTCTCCCTGCCAGAAACCCTCCTTCCCCTGCTCGGGGAAGGGGTTACCCCCCCCCCCCTGCCCAATCCCATGGGCCTGGGGGGGGCGCGGGCGGTCAGGCGGCCCAATGCGGCTCCAAGAGGGCCTCCGAGAGCCCAGGATGGCCTCCGAGATGGCGCGGGTGCCTCGAGATGGTTCAATATAGCTTCCGACGCGCATCCGCAGAGCCTCGAAACAACCACGAAACGGTTTCAAGTGCCCTCCGAGGCCTCCAAGGACCCCACCAAGAAGCCAAAAGGGCTTCCTAACCGAAGAAAAATCAATGTGCTTTACCATCTCGCCTTTTCGCTTCCGACTGGCTCTCGAAGCCTCAAGGTGGCGCCGAGGAGGCCCGAGAGGTCCTCGAGGGGGGCCCAGCCGGGCCCCGGGGGCGCCCGAGCGCGCTTCAAGAGCGGCCCAAGAGGGCCCCGAGACGCCCTATTTAACCTCCGATGAGGGGGGCGGGGGGCGGCGAATCCCCCCCCCCTTCCAATCTTTTTATTGTTCTATCGCCGCGGGCCGGAAGAAGCCCCCCAGACAGAACTTTCAAGGGGCCCCAAGAAGGCCCCAAGACCCTCAAAATGAACACCCAGAGGGCCCCAAGAGTGGCCTAAGAGGCTCCGCAGGGGGCCCTCAAACAGCCCCTGCGCCCATGATAGACCCCGACAGCTCCTCGCCGAACATGGCTCAAGATAGCCTCCAAGAGGCCTCGAACAAACCCCCGATCGCTCCTGGATGGGCTGGTGGGGATGCGCGAAGCGTCAAGAATTTGGCCCTGTGAGGTCCTGGCCAAATGATCCGCCTCGAGCCTTGTCTCACGCGTCACTCTGGCCTCGGCTATCTCGGCCTCTCTTGTTCTAGCGACCGCGACCTACCTCGGCCGGTCGGGTGGCCTCCTCAGTGTGAGCAAGCGCCTCGTTCTACACGTCCCTAAGACGCCGCCCGGCGAACTTCCGAGCATATGGACAATGTTTCGTGGCCAGTTGCAGCTTTCGTTCTATCCCTGGCAGCCTTGACCTCCGCCCCCGCTCGGTTCTTCTCAGCCAGCTCGAGTTGGTTCGACAACGCCCAATGCATCTGGAGCTCGAACTGCTCCTCCATCCGAACCAGACAGGCGGCGCGTCGCAATGCGTAGCAGACGTGGCCCGCTTGCTCCATGAATTCCACCCGCAGGCAACTCGCATTTCATCATGTGCGACACCCCGGACTCTCATTGCACGCCGGTCTGCCGCAGTTCCCCGACGCCCCTGGGCAGCGGCTCTCAGCGACGTTGCCGCATCGGGGCGCGGGGCTCGAGCGACCACATTGACATCCGACTCGCGTTGGAGGTTCGGCGGCGACCGGCGCCATTGATGCGCGCCGAAGAGTACCCGTCGCTTCTCGACGTCAACGACGGCTCCTTTTTCCAAGCTCAGTGCTGAAGTGCTTGGCGAGTCCCAGCCTGCCCTCGGCGCCCTGACAGTAGTGCCAGTGCGATTGGCTCTAGCGCCACTCGGCTCAGCTGCGCCATGAGATCTGCGCCAGCGCACGGCACTGACTGAGGGCGACATTGGACTTGCGACAAAGCCGCTGCGCCCAGGGAGAACCGCGAGATTTCCACTGGCTACATCGTCATCATCATCCACCGCAATGCCTTCAGGCTCGGGCGCCTGCGATGGCACCGGGCGGTGTCTTTTCGCGCTTGACCGGTCGATTGTCTCCGCTTCTTCTCTAGTCCTTCTCGATCGGAGCGAGCTCGACCTCGATTCTCACGTGCGCTCCCGCAAGGGGCGCATCCCTCATTCTTGGGCTCGCAGCCGGGGGGGCACTCTGGGCGGCGTCGGGTGTAGTCTCTCGACGGTTCTTGGCTGATTCCACTGACTCAGGCTCGTCAGACGGCACTAGAACCTCATGCAATTTTTCTCCGAGCGCACCCATCGGACAGGCGCGGCCTGCGCCAAAGGCACATCGGCTCGCCATCTCAATTGATCCTTCCATCTCGGCAGGGTCGACGCGACCGGCGCCGGCAGCGCCGATCTCCACGCCCCCGATCCTGGGCCCGGGGTCGCCTGATTCATTTCTTATGGTCGCAGGGGCGACATCTTCAATCTGAGCTCGCCCGTCGGGCGGGATCTGTTGCGCGAGCCGTGGCGGCTGCCCCAGGTGCGTCCGACATGTCATCGCGCGACGACATGGTTGCGCCCGCCGTCGGCTCAATTTCAACGTCAGGTTTGCCTTGGCCATTACTGGGCACGCCGGGGGGGCGGGGTCTCCCGGCTCAGGCGCGCGCCCTCGAAGCTTTGCCGACATGTGGCGTTTCTTACATATTTGCACGTTCGGACACAGTCCCCCGCGCCACTCCGCCACGACTGGGCCGGGGCGGGATCGCCCCGGGCCCCTCCGAATTCTCGCGCACAACCCTACGGCGATCACCAAGGACTTCCGAGATGCCGAGATTGACCTGCGCACTCGAAACTATGCCATTGCTTTACCCGCGGGCTTTCAGCCCAAGCAGGGCCGAGATCGCTACCACGAGGAGCTCAACTTTGGATGGTCACGAGGGACCTTCACCAATAAGTCGGCTGGATGCCCCATCTATTTCGGCCGCCGGCTTCGTCGTGCTCACTTAGTTCGCATGTTGGACGATTCGGTTCTAGGGCGAATTGCAGCTGCGCGTTTTGCATCGGGCACCTTTGACATCCTGGCCGTTTCTATCTACATTCCTCCCAGGGGCGGCCTCGCGAAGTCGAGGGGCCAGCATTGTCACACAGTGGACCTTATCATTGACACTTTGCGGGAGATCATTCCTCAGGTCGGAGCGCGTTGCATTCCTCTCCTCGGAGGCGATGTCAACGACGGTTTCGGATGGATCGATCTCGGGGACGGCAATTGGCAGGGCGCGCCCGACCTTCGCATTGGATCTTATCAGCGTAACTACGAGCACTACGCAGGCCAGAAGACCCCTGAGTTGTTGCCCCTTCACCACCTCGCACCTTTCGACGCGTCCTGGGATGCCGGTGACACGTACTTTTCCCCACAAGGCCATTCTTCGCGCGTGGGCTACTTATTCGGCCCTGTCAAATTGTTACCGGAGGTGCAGAAGTGTTCGACTCTTCGCAGGCTCGGCCGCCAGATAAAGGTTGGAAAGGGCGGGCGCCTCTTCGATCGCACGCCGCTGCCCGCCGATTTTGCATGCGCGCTGACCTCCCCCCGTCGCCCACCAGCGGCCCGAAGTGGGACATCGATGCCCTCGTGCTGGCGATGTTGCAAGGCGCTCGGCGTGTGGAGTGCGTTCGTGAGACTCGCCGAGCTGCTCAAGATCTGGAAGCCTCTGCTGCTCGGCAGCAGGCCCGCCTCGATAGATTTCCCGATCGGGCTCGACATCCTCTCGTCAAAGCTGCTCGAGGCACTGCGGAGCTACGTTTTCTCAAACAGCGCGTGACCGATCCCCTGCGTCGCGCGCGCGCGCGCTGAACGGCGACTCGAACTCTTGCGGGAACGGGCGCGCATCGAAAAGGCGCTTGCGCAGCTTGTTCATGACCGAGGTGCATTTAGAGACAGCCGACCTGGAGCTGGCCATGCATACTACGAGGCGCACCCGCTACAGGCGCCGCGCCCGGCCAGATCGCCAACGAGCTCTTGTGCAGCATTGGCGCGACGAGCAGCGGCATGGACATTGCCATGAAGCTCATCGTTTTCGACGGCTTCTTGCTTCCTCCTAGCGGGGGCCCAAGAAACGCATTTTCGGCGCCCGCTCGAATCTCTCGCCCGCGCAGCAGGAGGTGTTGGATTTCTTCAAGCTTACTGGGCCCGACGGCGGGATGGCCGCTACAGAAGTGGACTACCAGGCGCAACATTCGGCGCGACCTGCATGCCGGGGAGGGGGGCGTTCGCCCATCGATCAAGCGCGCCGCATTGCCAAAAAGGATACATCGGTAATCCGCTGTTACCTTCGACGGGGAGCCAAGAGGAAGTGGGCACCTGAATGGTCTCTACCCCTGGAGCTTCGGCACATATGTTTCTTCCCTCTTCGACGGTTGGCCGCACTTCGTCGCCATGCTGGAGTGGGCAAACCTGCACCACAAATCGACAGTGATCTTTTCCACCGTGTCTTTTTGGACGTGCTTGCGCAGATCTTGACTGTGGGAGCCCCCCCGCACGCTTTGAGTCGCTTGAAAGGCATATTCATTTCGAAGCACAATGGCAAGCCACGGCTCCAGGGTACCAGGGCGGCGTGGACCAGCTGCCCCATCAACGTGAAAGGCTTCTCGCGAGGGTATGCCGGGCGTGGGCTGCGAGCGCCCGCTCCTGCGTGGTCGCACGGGGCTGAGGCGCATCGACGGCGGGAATCCGCGATGCTAGTGCAGCAGGTGTCGATAGAGAAATTGTGCAAAGCCCAGGCGCCTTCTTATTACATCTCTCTTTGATGGGACCTATGTCTTCCACTGCACGAAGCACGCGAAGCTCGACAAGGTGATTGCCTCCAAATGTTCCGAAGACTAGAGGAAACTACTGTTGGGCATGCGGCGTAAAGCCGTGGCAACCATTGCAGTACGTGGCGGTGGTATCTCTGTAATTCCAAGTTCGGGTGGGTTGATGGGAGGGCCGGGTGCTCCTAAGAACTTCAATTCCGTTCACCACAGAGCCATTATGGAGTGGGATGCCGAACTGAAGACGCACGACCATAGCTATTGGTTCTCGTTTTTGAATGACCCTTTTAACCAAATTTGGGTTGACACTGGCCTGAGCACCTTCGTGGACGATATCCGCCGCTCCCACATCGTGCTTTCGGCCACCGACGCCGTGATGAAGACGGATTTCGCCAACCTCGTTTTGACCAACGCGTTCGGCAAATACGGATATGTTTCGAACCTCGGCAAGGTGGATAATCTGGTCAGATTTGGGGGCAGGGCACGCGCACTTTTGAACAGCATCTGTTTGGATCGAAACTACCTATTACTGGGTCGACTCGCAGTGGGGCGCGCTAGCCCCACACGTTGCGATCGTTCTCTGTTCAGCTCCACGAGTCTCTTGCAGCAGGACGTCGTGGCTGGTGCATCGTAGGGACGTAGGGAAAGCGTGGTTTGCGGTGTGCCTTTCTCCACAAGCCGTACATGCTTCTCGGCTTTCGTCTACGAGGCGACCATCTCGGGGCTTGTCGTCGACGTCCTGAGCGCAGCTGCACATGCGAAGCTGGATGCGATGCTCGTTGGTTATCTTCGTGCTTTGATGCGTGGGAGAGCTTGCGAGTGACCTTCTGATACTGTTGGGCATCACCGATCTCTTTCGAATGCCAGCGTGTGGCAGCGCTGGCGCATCGCCCCTTCTACGGTGGAGCTCCGAGTCTGGCGCCTGGTGTGGTATCAGAGTTGGGCGAGGTACCCCACGGATTACTCTCAAGTATTTGCGGCCGTGCTCGGAAAGTGCGAAGGCGAGGAGCGTTCCCCTTTGGACCATGAAGGCTGGGTTGTCCGCGCAGATGTAACCTCGTTCCTCCTACAGCTCCAAAAGGATTTGGAAGTACTCGGAGCAACGGAGATGGCGCAGTCGTGGTGGAAAGACCTGGACAATCGTATGCTTCTGGTGTTTACCACCGATGAGTTCCGGGAGCCTTTCGTCGAGTTCGACATGACGTGCTTTGCGGGCCTGTTCCTACGGCGCAGATTGGGCACCTCCTGGCCTGCACTCTCCTGCCCCCCAGCGTGAGCCCGACCTTCGCGAGCGGGTCCGGGAATGCACCCAGGAGTATGCTGGTTCGGAGGCGTGCTAGCAGTGTTTCCTCGCGCACCGGGGGCTGATGGCGCACGTTCGCCTTGCACATTCTAAACAAGTTATTGCTTTTGCTGCCACCATGACCAACCGGTGTTGCTGCTGCCTGTCTTGCTTCCCAACGCGATTACTCGCTGCAACCCATCTGGACCGAGCTTGTCGGAACGGCGTTTGCTTTGCTGATCGCTCTCCCACGCTCCCACGTGTCCTCAGCTGATTCTTCCCCCTCCTGATCTTCAACGTTGCCCTTCCTGCGGACATGAGGCTCAAGTTTGGGAGCATCTGCAGAACCACATCCGCTGCCACATGAACCCGGGCCCACAGGACATCGATTGGTATGTCGATGGAGCTGCCAGCGTGGATGACGACCACGGTCGGCGCCAACGAGCGGCCGGGGTCCGACGCGGCCG